AATGCAAAGTCAACCGACGAGCCTGCTTGGGTAAACGACAAAATCTTGGCCTTGGGAGCATCTTATTTTTGTTAGCGCATGCTTTGCTTCTAGCATATTGTTTTCTGTTAGTACACGTATTATTTGTGCAACAATGATGAACTTCTTGTCATTAGGACCAACTGACTTGGTTCTGAGCATACCGCTTTTGGCTTGACAGATGCTATCCTTTTTTGCAGGTGTGTCTTCTGTTCGATGGTAGGGATACGAAGGGATTCATTTTATTATCGGCTTGATGATAACCGAGTTTTCTTAGATTGTAAATGGAATCAATGCAGGTTTTTTACCTCTTGCCTGATTAAGATTGAAATATTTACATTCCCGTACACGATAAAACTGAACGGGGCCACCATCGGCAGCTCACAAAACAGCAGAGGATTGCTACAACAGGGGTGAGATAGGTCCGACTTACCGCTGAAGAGCTCACGAGTTTTTTGGAGTTCAACATTTAAGCATTTGAATTCCGATATCCAGATAGATGGAAAAATGTTTCAGCAGGTGGCGTGTCTGTATTTTGTCGCTTATTTCTTTGTTAGGCTCAAGTTGAGTCGTCAGCCACACAATATACATATTTATTCCAAACTAAAATGCTGATAGTACGGAGATATGGGACACGAGCAGCACAAATTTGTAGTTCAGTGGAAGTTGCTACGTAAGTTACCTTGAGCACATTCTGGAAGAGAGCAAAGAGGTAGGAAAGTCACTGCCATTTAATTCGTCGCTGCGAACACGACTTGTTCATCGGATAAGTCATACTTTTAGCAAAAGTTGCAACCAAAAATGAAATATGCCGGCTAAATTCCTATTTCGCTGCTTTTTCGAAGCAGTTCCTCGGAAATGTGCCAAAAGTGAATAACTCCACCGTTGCCACCAGACACAAGAAGATTGCCGTCAGGGCTAAAGCAGACGCAGTGTGGAATGTCAGCGTGCCAGCCGCTCTGAGCTATGCATTCCCCGGATTCGTATCCCCAAAGACGAAGCGAACGATCGTCGCCACCTGCAAGCAGCGAGATGCAAGTGGTCTCAATTCCGCCAGTGCCGCGGCCACCCTCTAGCAATATCCTTTTCTGACGCGCCCCTGTAAAGAACTTTGTAGCTACACGAGTAAGCAATAGTTTGCTGTTTAGGCGAAGTGCACTTGAAAAAGTTGACTTACCAGTGCAGACTAAGTGGTCTTTTGGCTGGTAAGAAATACAGTGTACATCTCCATCATCTGCGACCTCGAAGTCCCGTATTTTCGTACCATCTAGAGCATCAAAGTAGTGAACTTTCCGGTCGCTGCCCGTTGCAAGGATGTGCACTTCATCGGCACAATAAGTAGCGCTCTGTGGTCATTTGCACACCGCGTTCTATAGAGTAGATATACATGAAAAACCGCCAACCAATAGCATCAAACTGCAGACAAGCAGGCACTTTCAGGACATTAAAGTGATTCAAATGAGGTACCTGCCTCTCTGGATGCTCCTACCCACCCGAAAAATTGTGCTTTCATTGATTGACAGAACTGAAGTATATGTTGTCATGTCCCAAACGATGATTGTGCCGTCTTCAGCAGCTGTTAGGGCCTGAATGGACACGCCATATGAAAACCAAACATGCCTCATAAATCCTACTCGAACGCTTTTGTCAAAGTCTTTATGCGGCTTCCGAAATGCGTATTCAGCGTTATGTCGCCTTTATTATTCCCACGTGAATGTTGTTCCGACGTAGTCGTAAGCAGCAGATCTTTCCTCGGTGCTCCTTTCTGCTTGCCAACATCTCCTGAGAGCTGCTATGTATATCCCACACCCTAAACTGGCCAGAAACACCTCCTGATGCCAATCGCCTGCCAACTCTCGTTGCTGCAACTGCTGTAACTCCGTCCTTGTGTGCTTGTTCAATACAGAAGAGTAGCTTTCCCGTCTCTGGAGTGAATGCGCGAATCCTTCCATCCTTCCATCCAGTTATTATTGAAGATCCATCCGGAGCAAAGGCCGTGCATAAACACTCGACGCCAGGAAGTTGAATTCGTAACAATTCCCTGTAGGTCCTTGTGTCCCATATTCTCACATCTGATGCCGAACAGGTTGCTAGGATTTGGGAGCAGTTGTCCGGAAACGCCACTTGATTTATTGTACCAGCGTGTGCAGAGTGCTTGAGATGAGGCGTCAGTGTCCGCGCATCAATTCTGTACAGATTGTTTGCTGAGGTTGCTGCCCAAAGCATGGAACTGTCTGGAGCTGCAATCAGAGAAGTAACTGCTCCAGAGATCTGACAAACGCTTGATGGAGAGAGAGTATCAGTTCCTAGTCTAAATAGCTGACCGTCTTCGGTGCCTGCAAAAAGCTGGCTACCTATTAGAGTCATGGCAGTGACACCTGCCCTAAGCTGCCTTTTTGGAGGCCCACTTCGTTTGAACAATCCCGTGCTAAGCGATACCTCAAGAATATCACCTGGGACACTCGTAGAAGAAAAACGAAAATGGCCGAAGAGGCTTGCTGCTGTCGAAGATTTCTCTACATTGGATGTGTAAAAGCATTAATGCATTTCTTCCAACGGCTAAGTTTCCGTTTCTTTTATCGGAGCTTGTGACCTAACTGTCAAAACCATTGCAAACGGCGCCAACCATAGACTCTTACCGGACTGCGTCCCGCAGTACACCATTTCATCAGCGGGGTGAATAACAAGAGCTTCACAACACCTACGAAGCTTGCCGAGATTGCAATCTCGTGGTGTCATCTTCTTCGTTTGAGCATCAATCTCCCAAATTCGGAGGTGTGACGCTCCCGCTGAGTACAACAGGAGGCAAAATATGACGCCACAAACTTGCAGCGAAGGAAGTTGTTTGTTCTCTGCATGCAGTCTTCTTCGTGTGAATTCCAACCAGCCGGGTTTGGTTTTGCTTTGACAGCATACTTGTGAGGTTCAGCCAAAATAAAACGTAGTGTCAAAGCAAGCGGAAATCATACCAGATACCAGCATGTTGGGGGTGTTATTGTAAAATGCCAAACATTTGGCAGTCTCTAAAGCAGCAGCTATTCCACAGAGTGCCTTCCTCTCCTCAACGCTCCAAAGCATAAGAGTGTTGCAGCTTTCGCCACCCAAACTGGCCAAGAATTTGCCGTCACACGAAAAGTCAAGGCACTCTACTGAGACCTTGTGAAAGCTGAACGCTCGAAATACAAAACCAGAAGGACATGCTGTAGTGTTATTTGGCTAGGCATGACGCTAATAAAGGCAGTGCAAGGTACATACCTGAGCCTTCCAATCTCTCTTGCATCGTCGAGGCTCCAGATTATGATGTCTGCTACAAAGCCTGGATGAGTAACTTGCCCGCTGGCCAGATATTTCCCACCCTTGCTTATTGCAATGCAGGTGACACAGTTATCGTGTCCGCACAAGAAGGTATCGGAGCTGCTTATGAGGTCACGGACAACGATAGAGTAACCAAGGGCAAATATTAGCCGTTGGTTGTCAGGATGCATAAGAATGCACCTTTTGGAGCCTCCATTAATACCAATGACGGCATCAAGCTTCAAGTGTCCCAAGTCTTTGCCCTCCATTGTATATGCAAACAGAAAAAGCCTGCCGCTAATAAAGAAACTCCTAAAAGTTTGTGTGATTGTAGTTGTATCCGATATTAAGGCTGTTTATGCTTGGGAGAAAGAATCGAAACTTTGTATGGCTAGCACGCCAGAACTGGCATACTCTAGCGGTCGTGTCTGTTGAGGGAAAGCCGCAGGGAGAAATCATCCAGCACAGTGTTTCCCTCTCATTGACCGTAAAACTGGAAGTTTTTCTGTTGTGTTGAAGCGCCCCAAAAAGTGAGCAGACTCTAGCCTTCAATTTTTAATGGTTGCACAGTTTAGCTATCTGCCGCCCTATACATGCTTTGGCTGCGGCTGCCAGGGTAGCGGAGGACTGGCAAATGAGCCATAATCGAGCGCATTCAAATGTCCAACTGTTTTGCACAAAAAGAACGCGGGATACAACGAAGGGGAGTGGCCTTATGCAACTGAAGGGCTGTGTGCAAATGCGTCGAGAATGGTGTCCTGGTTCACAGAGACGGCAAAATAACATAGTTCACCATTTTGGCGTGGTAACAGGCAAAAATTGTTAATGCGCAGTAGGAATGCTAGCGAACGCTAACATAACCTATTTTTCCCGGGTTGATGTAACAGTAGGAGCAGCCGCTAATTCGGTGGAATGAGCCTTCTTGGGGCCCAAAGTCGAGAAAAGACTATGGAGATGTGATCAACCTTAGATTGTTTCTTGAAGCCATTTGAGTAATGCTCCGCACCCTTTAATGTCGGCGGAAATACTGCAGAAGTTTTACACACGAATGTAAAAGCTTCGATGAATATTTCTACCCCGCATACGTCATGGTCTTTGAAGCGGCTGCTGCTAGTGAAAGTATTCCACGTAATCTGTATAGTCTGCTCACAACATAGTTGCTACAAAGTTTTAATGCGTGGTCGACGAATCCACTTTTTTCCCGAGGGTTTACGAGCCTGAACGCATGCAAGTTACCACCGTAGCTGTCCATCAAGGCTTGCATGCATCTGGTGGGCAGCCCCACTACACAAATAGATCTTGACAAAGTGTTGCTTTATAGATAAAAGTTCAAATATTTTGCTACTCTCGGAGTTAGTTCGGGCCCCATTTTCACTACTTGCAGAAACGTATCGCTGTGTCAGGTGAAGCGCGTTAGTATCTTAGGAGACAAACCCATGAAGGCCGGTATCATATTTGACGCACTCTCGCGATTTGGTAGACCTAGTTATTCAATCCTCCCATAAAGGAGCTAGGAACTGGCAAGGTGACTGATAGGTTGCCTCTTTACTAGTGCGGAAACCTGTCCTGCGCGTCTCGCACGCAATAGTGTCTCCTGTTGGACGAAATTTCGCAACAGGAGCAAACAGGGCAGCATTCTTGAAAGAGAAACGTTAAAGGCCCACCAATTACCTGCAGCACATGCAGAGATGAGTGCTCCAGATCTGGATTTCGGGCTTCACATAGAAACAGCACGACTGCAAGAGTTCTTGGCTCAATTGCTCCGTTCCCAGGAGCTTATGCAAAGACGCCAAGACGAGCTCACATCCACAGTCGACGCATTGCTTAAAAAGCTGGATAGCGGTGAACATGGTATCGAGGAGCAGCAACAAGTTCTGCAAAAGCTACAGAGTGATATCGTCAGCTTGTCAGAGCGTCTTGACTCATTTGACAAGCTACGTATTGGAGAGAAAATGGAAAGATATGACAGTGATCACAGTGATATCAAAACATTTCAGTCACAGATTTCTCAACTTGATTCGAAAGTGGGGTCCGCTGACCTCGCACACATTGGAGTTTAAGAAGCGGCTGGAAGCTTGCACAAATGACGAACTGGCTTAGAATAGTACAAGTTTATCACGCTTGGCAATTTTAAGGAAAAGAGAAAGTTCCAATAGAGTCACAAACAGCACATCAATGTTTGCAAGCGGATAACCACTTACTGCGGGCTTCTTACTTTCGCCAGGAACAATTCAAATGGGAAGGTCTCAACCCGCAGTTTACTTGAATTGTACGAACTTCAGCTGCTCTGCTTGTGACTGCGCTGTCAGATTAAAAACCAAGAGGCGGTTGCAAGCAACTTTGAAAGCCGTGTAATGAGTGTTGAAAACAAGCAGACTTTTCTTGATGACAAATATCAAGAGCTTATGCCGGAATTCGAGTCCTTGAAAGCTGGTCAGACAACTGCAATTTCTCAGTGCCAAGCAACAGAAGCTCGCTGCAGTGAGGTACGAATGGTGAATTGTGCATTCAGATTTGTATGCATCCTTTGAATGGTCGAACGACTGATCAGTGACTTGCATTTTCGCATTAAATATATATACTAAAGGCGAACAAATCCTGGAAATGTCACCTGAGCCCCCGGGGACATTCGGAACTGCTGGTCGGAAATTCCCATCGCAGTGGCACGCTAAACAGCATAGCTTCTTTATGTGCGTTATGTTGTGGCTTCCATGATAAGCGTAGCTTTAGCATGATCCGATGCACGCGTTTGTGTAGGGCGGCTACTGCAGGTAGAGCGGCTTCAAAATGAGCTTGCCGCCTCGGTTGAAAATAAATATGAGAACCTTTGGAAGAGTGTTGAGAAATCGCTTGAAAACATTTCAACAACAGAGCTCCAAAAGTATCATAGTGAGATTCGAGCACTCAGCGGCAAAATTGAAAATAGAATGAACCTCCGAATTAGCTACTGTTTGGATATACTTGCAAAGGCTGCGGAAACAAGCAGACAGAAGGACTTGAAGCGATCCGTACTCCTCAGGTTTGGCTTTTATATCCTGCAAAATTTCAAGCTGCGGAGAAACAAGAAGCTGTGTTGGCCCCTTGGCATACGCTGTATATATAGTTGATTAGAAAAAGGCAGACAGTCCCAAAGTTTTGCTAGCAGTCTCTACTTAACAGTTTGGTTTGTTCTGGGTGAAATAACGCTGCTCAGGTTAAAAAGAAACAACTAAGTTGCACATAACTGTGTGCGCAGGTGGAGAGAACAAGCGTGGCTTGCAAGCAGACGGAAGTTCGGGCTTTCGCTGCTAGCCAACCGCATATACAGCACAGTGGGGGACACACACGTGTCAAAGCGCCTACCCCGTTGATAGAAAGCGCTGCTCTGCAGGCTTCACAACGGGCTCTATATTACTGCGTTAGATTCACATGAAACACGTTTATTAAAGGAGAGACAAGATGTGAGGCTTCACCTGTAACCGCTTGGATATAGAAGAGTCTTAGAACCTATCTGCTTCTTTATGCCAATTTGCGCATGCAGATCCGCGCTTCCTTCAAAAAGTGGCTTTACCAAGCCCGGTGGGCCTCCGAAGTTGAGCGAGTCAAGGAGGAATGCACTAAACTTATACCAGACATACACGGTTTTCTGAACGGGGCTATTAATCCTCGTCTCCAGCTCCTTGAAGAGGGAGCAGCAGCAGAGGCTCGTAGAACAGATCTATTAGCCGACAAAAATAAGGAAATATGGGCGCACCTGCAGTCAACAATAGTAGGCCAGTTGCTTCACGTTAAAACCGCTAGACTATCCTGTTTGGCAGTGGTGTGCGAATCTTGCCAGTTGTTTTGTAGTATTAAAACTGGATTTTCTCCAACACACGGTGAGACCGTACAGCAAACGCATAATCGGTTTTCCTAGCACATTTTGCCGTATTTCCTATCCTTTAAGCTTGGTGCGCGTTCATTCGTGTTGCACCGATTGAGTCATTTTGCCCCTGCTTCACACAATTCAGGACCGCGCCACTGCACTTGAGCACAAGGCCAAAAAGGACACGGAAGCGCTGGAGAAGGTAAGCCCTTGGTAGGAAACTGCTTTTTCCAAGTAAGAGTTCGAGCTGCGTGAGACGATAGAACACTTTCATTACTTCACAATACAATGATTATATTCTGGAGAACATTTTGGTTAATTCCATCCTCATGTCACTTTGCAGATGGCTACAGAGCTTGATATGCACTCAAATTTTCGACGAAATGCTGAGGAGCGCGTACAAAACGCAGAAGGCACGGTTACCCAACTCTCCGAGCAACTAGCCCTTGTGGCAAGAGACGGTAATTTGACTCCACTTGTCTAAGGTTTAGATCACTGAGCGACGGACATGCAAAGCAGCATTTTGATTCCAAAGCAAAAAGCAAGTGATGAGTTTATTCAGATGATGTTAAGAATATGATGAAAGACATACTGCTCATATGGACAGCTGTCAAACAGCTCGATTCAGCAAAAGCTGACAGGAAAGAGGTCGAAAACCTGGGACTCGAAGTAACTTCAAGAAATGAGGTATAGATGTATAGACAGTTGCTCCCAAACCACCACGCCATCCACCCAAAAATATGTGCAAGTGGGTCAAATTGCTACATGCTAGATAAATATCCAAGAGTCAACGCATTTCACCTTTCTGGTCAAGGCCAAAGAACGTCTTGGTGGAGCGTTTCTGTGCGTGACTGTCTCCAGACTCTGTCAGAAAATCTGCAAAAGCTAGAAACTTACAATACTGGGCAGGTATGAAGTGAACAATCCACAGATGTAAGGTGCTGGGAACTTAGGCCTGAGGTGGAGTGTTGTCAGACAGGCAGTCTACAATATGTCTCCAAAAATGCTAGTGTACCGAAACTTGACTGTAAGCATTTGGGAAGCCGCAAGGTTGGCCACCTAATGTTGTCCTGGAGGGCATCAATACTTTTTTGCAGGATACTGCTTTGGAGCAGCGGATTTCAGACTTGTACTCAGACATCAAGGAAAGCAAGAACAAACACGAAGAACTCGAGTTTATGTTTGGACTCGTTGTCAGGCTACTTGAAGACATTGCAAACATCCAATTCGCAAAAATACAGGTGCCTGTCTGCGTTATATATGTGGCTTGAGAAGGCAGTGGCGATACTACAGCACAATCAAGCCTAACTGTTTTTACATATACGTAGTCAGATATTGCAATTGCCTCGAGTTTTTTGCCAATGCAGACCCGCCCAGTCGCAAGTGGGAAAGCGGGGAATGGGAGAATCGAAACGCGACCAACTCTACGAGCAAGCCTATGTCGAGCGCAAGATATTAGCAGCAGTGCCTCAAAGATAAGCATTGCTGCATTACCTTTGGCAGAAGCAGGAGATAAGACGGAGCGTGGGGGCGATACTCAGTGTGCAACGGAGCCTCGATTTAGGCCCGCCTACCAACCAGCTTCTGAATGCAAAACACAAGCACAATCGCAGGCGGCCCCTGACTGCAGGACCAAACAGGCAATCCGGTAGGTGGAGCCATCATAAAGATATCCGTAAAGCTCAAAAATTTTATTTTATTTTTCAACACAGTTGCTCCGCGACACTCTCCTTCCCGCTGCATGCTCTTGCCCCTGGCTTCTTCATTTTTTCAAACATTGAGTACTGAACAAATTTGCAGGACCCCGACAGTGGCGGCATTTGCCGAATGGGTTAGTAATATTCAAAAGACGTTGAAGCAAGAATGCAGCGCATATGATAATGGCGCCCACCTACTTGGAGGCCGTTAGAATTGTGCGGAGTGATGCAAGGCCGCTAAACAGGGCAGCGGTTACATTATTGACGTGCGGAGCTGGAAAAGTTAACCGTGGACCTCACAACTTATGGGTTGGTTTACAAAACTGGAGACCATCAGAGTTTAGCAAAACCCGCTGAACTTCAGAACACTTTTTCTTTAGCCCCTTGGGCTGGGTTTCTGGCGTGACTTGTTCGCAAGTAGAGCAGCTCACAGACTCGCTTCACAGATTATCAAGGCTGATGTTGTGGCGTGATCAAAATTATACTGTGAATCCTAGGTGCCTACAAGCATTATGCTGAAAGGACAAATTACTTGGGTCTAGGACCACGCTTACATTGGCTTCCGTTTGAACTGCACTTGTGCGACTGTTGAAACCGAATGAAATCCCTGGAATGGTTAATTTAGTTGCTACCTAACATACGTATACACATTACGAACTCACAGAAGATCCAAACTGTGTTTGGCATTTAAGAACGGAAGCAACTAAAAGACCTAAGGACAATACGGAGCTTCAGAGCAGTGAACAGAATATATAAACTAAAGTTGTGAACATGATAAATTTTGAATAAAACGAATGCCTAGCTCTAAGGGCCTCAGTAGGGGGCATTTTTCGCGCACGGCGTCAAGGAATTCGGTCTGCCTGTTACTACACGCACGGACCTAGACAGTTTTAAAGTGACTCAGCACTTTCTCAGCATTTCCCAAGAACCCTTCGGAACGCGCCTCTCGTTATCTTTAACTAGAGTGAAAACTTGTTCTTACGAAACCTTCGAGCATATCTGCCCACAGTTTCGTTGTGGCACGACACAATTTTCTTTCCTTTTCGCTGTATAAGCACAACGCAGGTACTTTAAAAAAAAGCCGGCGCATCAGTGTCCCCCCTGCTGTCAATTTTGTTTGTCTTTTCACTCCTAACAATTCAGCAATCTGGCTGAAACACTTGGGTGACTTTCTTCGTATTACGTGGCGTAGAACACGACTTTGAGGACTCAGTGGTGGTAGGGTCGAGCAATCTTTTGGCACTCGCACGAGGGCCACCGGAAGTCGACTATCATCAGCAGCTTCGCTGTAGAGAAAGACCACAAAGGCAGCAAGCTTTTGGAAAATTGGGGAGCTGAGGTCAAAAACAGGGAGTTACTCAGTAAGCTCCAGCAGATGTGGACACAGCTTAAACAGGTCCGCAATCACCAGGACAGAACATTACGAACTTTACGAAATCGAACGTCTAGGCTGCAACTGCAAATAAAACTGAAAAGAGGGAATACGTTAATCCTGCATGCAGCGGAAAACAAATAGCCATAGCTGTGACCTTTGGAGAATATTTTATCCCGGGTATCCTTTTACCAGACTTTGAGGATCATCCCAGGACTTGGTGGGTGGCCGCTTTTCAGCTTTTCCCGGCGTTGCCTTTACGCCCTTTCCACATTATTATATTGAGCAGAGGAAATGCTGCTTGGAGCTGCATGCTGATCGAAGAAAATATCTGAACACGACCTTCGTGTGCACATTGGCATCTCCAGACTGCGAAAATGTGAAAAGGATATTGCAATAAATAAATCTACACTCATCCACATTGCTGTAATTTGCTCCAGCACTATCGTAATGTCTGTACAAGTGCTAAGGAGTTATCGAACAAAGTAGAAACATGAGAAACTGGGTGTACAAAGTACAGTGCTATACATAAGGCTACCAAGGCGTGTTGAGGAAGAGTTTGAGTCCAAGAAATTGTAAATTTTGGTGGCAGGTTGGTGACTCATCAGTGAGAAGCTTTACGTTTTGTATAGAAAAAAATACTAGGCAGACTGACAGCTTGTTTTAAGCCTGACCATCAAAAAAGGAACGAACACAAATTGAATTCTTACGGCCATCACTAGCTTTCATACTAGATATGGATGAATCCTAGCGAGACTCTGCGACTGTATATCTTAATGCGGATTTGCATTCTCTACTTCCTTGATGAAACTTCGGCGGCTTAACTTCCACGTAAATACGAAACAAAATACTGCAAATTTCAAAGTAGTTGTCTTCTACGATTCAAAGACGCAAAACAAGGCATGGAGCTTGTATGAGAAAAGTTGACAAGCGTCCTTCTTGGTAACTAGCTACGGCCGCCTAACCACTGCAGGTTTCACAGAACATGCGCATAATCGGCAGAGTTGCGCTCTTTGGAAATGCTTGCAGTGTTAACATAACAAAAGAAATGCCTTAGGGCAATACCGATCTTGCTGCCCCTAACCTGTGAGAAAACCGTGACTGGTAACTACACAGACAGGCAAGAGATGAAAAGAAATTTTCCAACGCATCATTCTATCAAAAATGCCATGTTTATCCTCGCAACCAATGCATTTGTTCCATGCACTTCTACTATTTTACGGTGACACAATGATGTGTCCGAAAAAGCGAATCAATAGAGAACATTCTGCGTGTACGCTGTGCAGTTGTCTCTCTGTCGATGCCACCGACGCATGATTACGTCCAAGGTGGCCTATGCACATTACACTGTCATTGGTACACGGAAAGAAGGCAAGGGGGAGTTGTTGGTCTCTTCGTTGCATAGGCGCGAATGCCTTCACTGAACATCTGGCTTTTGGCCGGTGCTAACATGTACCACACTGCCGACATAACTTGTCTCGGGATCCTTTTCCGGAACAAAATCTACACGCATGCTGCTTTTAAAGCAATATGCATGAAATAGAACGCCCAGAAGCCCGAGGTTTCTGTCATAGCGCTTTTCAGTTCGTGCTTAGCGCGATTTTAATTGCCCCAAACTATTGTGCTGATTGTTACCCACAGTGCTTTTTCCTAGCTCGCGCCCGTACTCAGCACATACAGTTTTAAATTTGTAAGGCTATGTGGAAAACAACGAAGCATCCCCTGTAGAAAAGGCTAAGCGATTATACGGGTCTGATGACAGGCGGAAAGAGATCTGCGAATACAAAAGGCCTGCAGCGTCCTATCATAAAGGCACAGATTCCAGAGTACAAGACTCAGTTAATTATTTTAATCACACAATCTAAACTTACTAGTTCACTGAGAGGCAGAATACCTATTCGATAGAGTTAGCATATTGCGGAGAGGGTCTAGGCTTTCTGGGGCATAGAGAGGCTCCAAACTCTTTAGCTTCCAGCTCCAATTTTTTGGGCTATCGACGCCAGGAAGGTTGAATCTTGCGCGATCATCAAGCCCCAGTATGTCCTGAACTGGGAGTATGACGAGGTGAGCAACACTGAGTAGAGCCAAGTGGGCTAATAGCCTGTGAACTGCAAAATCTGAAGGCTCCTCATGTAAGCCTACACGCAAAAGCACTGTTCATCCTTGAGTGTGTACGAAAAGCGTAGCCAATTTACAGTGAAGTTTTGAAGCTTTCCTCGTCGTTGCTGTGCTTGCAGGGCTTCAAATGCTTTTCGTTGGCATCTTTGACCTCACCAAGGTAATTTAAGAGGTGCGTTTTTGCTTCATCGGACGCTTCTTTCCACCATGACTGAGAAGTCGCATTGTCATGCGTCCCAGTATAGACGACGCAATCTCGCGTGTGATTGTAGGGCAGATGTTCGCAACGCAGCCCTTTTTCGTTGTCCGCCCACGCAAATTGCATAACACGCATGCTGAATATGCTGTATTTGTCTCTAAGTGCTACGATTTCAGGAGTAATGAATCCTAAATCTTCAGCTACGAGCAAAGGTGCTGGTTTAAGCGGATCGCCTCCTAGTTGCGTTCCAAAAGAGTGCCGCGTCCCAGAATTTTTTGTCTGTGGAGGAGACTTTGCAAGTATATGTCTGTTAAGTACACTCAAAATCTTTTTTTTAATTGAAGGCTTCTTCGAGCGTTTAGATAATGCCTCTGAGTAGGCAGTTGCAACATTTACCCTGGGATTTTCCCATCCCAAATTTTTGAAGATTGCATCGAACAATTTGGTCCCAGGCCCCGCTACCCACTCTCCATTTCTTGCGCTTTTGTGCTCCACTGCAAAATCGTACGGTACTCGCCAGTAAGACTCGAATCCACGAAAGTGATCAAGGCGACAAGCATCAAATTTTTCAAAGCTTCCAGCCACACGACGTGTCCACCAGCTGAAATTTGTGCGAGCGTGAGCATCCCACGCGTAAACAGGATGCCCCCAAAGTTGCCCTTCGGAACTAAAATAATCGGGTGGAACGCCTGCATGCCCATCACTTTACATGCAGAAAAGGCTAATAAGAAATGCTGCAGCCGTGTATCCGCGAAATTAAGTGCTAGAAAATGACACGCCATCTACCTGCAGCGTCTCAATTTCCTTACCCGAAACGTAGAGTGGCTTGTTGGTGCTGCTATCCATCTGGAACATTTCGGAGTTGCTCCAAGCGTCACTTGAGTGCATGTTGACATAGAACGCTATATCGCCTAGAATTTTAATTCCCTTTGAATTGGCCCGGCGACGCAACTGGCTCCACTGTTTGGAAAGTATGAACTGCACAAAGCGGTGAAACTGTGGTAGTAACAGCTCAGGTGGGTCGCCACTCGACCTATTAGACAGGCTCTGGTCCTCTGTGGGCGATTCAAGCCCCTGCATCAAGGATTCGTTTTTAACGAGGCTCTTAAATGACCTGTACTCCTCTGGCCAGTCAAGCCACGAAGATGCATCAGGATGTCTTGCTTGTATTGCCTCGAACAGCACATACCCGTCGAGCCAGAATTTATTACTCTTGCAAAAATCTTCATATTCTTCGGTGGGCACTGCTTCTGTAAACGTCTTGTACGCAAGCGCAAGCAGTTCATCTTTGTAGCCCTTTGCTACATGGTAATCAACGAATGCTTCGCAGTCCACATCCTCCTGCAAGTGGGAGACTGTGTTAAGGGTCCTCCTCTCCTGCTGTTTTGCCTGCCACTTCGCTATTAGCTTAGCTACATCTTCCTGCGTCACGAGCTTTGATGATACTAAACCAGCAGGACAAACCAGTAATGGGTTTAGAGCAAATGAGCTGGTGCTTAAATACGGGCATCCAGGCTGAGACTGAGAATAAGTACAAGGTCCAACAGGAAGCACCTGCCAATAAGAGAAACCCGCCACTCTAAGATAATCTAGGAAAGGCTCGGCACTCTCCCCAAAGTCCCCTACAATCCCGCATTTGCTAGGCAGCGACGTTGGATGTAATAGAACGCCCGCTTCGCGGCCTTCATACATAAAATCCATCTTGTCTGTACAAAAGTTCTTGTAAGTTAACGCATGCGTACTACCATATATTTCCTGTTAAAAGGAAGCGGCCTGAGGTCACCTCTGACAGCCGCCTCCAGGCGTGCTCCTCGCCCTGTTTTCAGTGTCAGAAGGCTCTCTTAAAAGCGTTTACGGCTTGCAGAAGAATAATTTGGTGCTAAGTATCGGTGCACTTCTGGTTTTGTAAACAGCCCCAGCTGGTGCTCGTAGAAAGTACAGGCCTGTTCTGCATGCAGTGAGCGAATTTACCATGGTTCTTCCCCTTGCCTCTTCTGATCAAATCCTGGTCGACCATCTTCGTATTTTCCAGTTTTTGTAAAAGTATGCATGCTAAATGTGCGCACACGCTTTACAAATATTCCATCAAAGATAGTATTCCCCTGGAGTATACTGCTCCCTTAAGTTCAGTTGTATGACGGGAGCCTTTGTCGCCGACGAAAGTGGCATAATGCGAGATACTTCTTGCTGGATCTAGTTCAGCTGTATCACAAAATTAATCTGTTTAGCTTTGATGTCTAATTTTGTGAAGCACTTCTATAAGAGCAAGCGTGGCAGACAAATGCTGCGTGCCATGGGATGAATCCGCTGCAGACCTTAACTCAGCTAGCATTAGAGAAGGCTATACTTTGTTCTCGAGAAATGCTAATAGCACTTATACAGTGGAGTTTGCCTTCCTTCCATACGCGCTTCTGTGCAGGTGCGGTTCACATATCGGAACAGAGTTCAAGGTGTCTTCGTGGAGGACTGCGTTTTAGTGGCTTACAATGACCTTTCATTGCGCGGAGTCGTCGGAGTTTAGACAACCACCGCAATTAAACCTTTCAAAAAGCCAGAGCACATGTAATATGCAGCTAGCGAGGCTCGCACAATTTCCAACTTGTTTGGCGCATGAAGAGACAAAGCCCTCTGCAGCCTATTTCTCTAATTTCAACAACCAATGTGGCATCTCTTCTAGGTGCCAGAAAAAGAAAAGTTCTCCAGTATGCAACATCAGGTACGAAAATTACAAAGTGATAACCATGGCGATTCACTAAAATTTTGTTACGTTCATTAGCTCTATGTCTATGCGACAGCTGGCTTCAGCTGACTTCATGAGTTCAGGACGAATTGATGAGCCTGCATCTGGAATTGGCTGCAGTGTCGAATATGAACTATTGAGCTAATTCGCAATTTTCCCCATTTTTTTTTCAATTTTCAGTTAAGTCACAAGGGCTGTCCCTAGTGTTTCTAAAACGTATCTCATGTCAAGCGTATTACTGCAGTTATGGCTGTCTTTCCTCAAACAACTGATTCACTACATCCTGACAAAAGCGTTGCTAGCCTCATTTCTGAAGTCCACCCGGGATTAAAATTTTGAGTAGATAAACTCTAAAAGAGACACAGTCCGACATCTTGATGCTACCGTGTCTCATTCATGGGGAGCGACGTTTGTCATTTAGCTGCAAGAGGAGCCAGAGAAAAAGTTAACTATCAAACTCTTCAAGTGATTTTTAAGTGAGAGGGAATTCAAACTTAAACTGACACATTCTATCTGTACGGCAAGCAGGGTAAGCCAGAGGCTGTCAAACGGCTCAAACAGAAACTGCACCGCTGAAGGGCAAACACATGGTAAGCTGAAATCTCGTGCGCGAGTGGCAAGCTGGCCGTGCATATCTCTAACGACCGAAGCGGGGTTATGGGAACTGGCAACACGCATGGTCATACCCCATTCATAGCTTCATCCACACGAGGTGTTGGCGCCAATAGGTGCAGGGGTGTCTTCTTAACCTTAGCTGTCTACAGAGCCAACGTAGCTCTGTGCGCCAGCATCAAAACAGGAGTCCAGCACTTCCTGTAATACACGCAGCTCCAAATGGCATAGGCTACCAACTGTTACACATAGACTAAGAGTCACTCGCATAGAGTGGCCATTTTATTTGCGCATGAAGTTATCTTCCATAGCAGTCCATTCTAATTGACTTTCGTTGCCATTTCTTGTGTAGCGTAAAATATTAGACATCGGTGGCCCCTAATTTTAGCACCTGTTTTGAGACCAGCACTAAGGTGTACTGCAACTTGCCCCGTTCGAGCAAGCCATTCGTGAGCTTGGAGGACCCAGCGTGCTTTTCACGCAAGGTAGCAGGATGAAGCTTTCCATTGCTACCATAAAGACCGCTGCGGCGACGGCTTGGCGTCTTCTGCCTCAAAAAGCAGAGGTGCTGCTTCATGCCGCCAATTACGCGAGAATACGCTTCGTTCCCTTCTCCTTAGCTAAATATTTCACATGTTTGCTTGTGTTTGCTTTTAAAAGCATTGCTGCACTCCACTCTAAGACTTTTTTGTCATAAGGGAAAGCGTTTGCCTCCGTGCTGCACATAAGTGCCTTTGCCGTTGCCCAGCATGGACAAGATAACTTTAAGGCATGAAAAGTTTGGTCACGGTATATGAAGAGCAGGAGAGCTGTGCTACTCTCGAGACAAGGCAAGGACTGCAAGCCATTAATTATGTTCCTTTTGCGCTCACTTATGCTCATAAGACTTTCCTGCAGTGTTGTACCCATTTTAAAAAGCTAAGCTTCATAGAAGGGAACGAGCAACGGTCTAGCAGCAGCGGTCTGCTACTTGTCATTGGCAATTCCGTAGCCCCGTGGACGGGCGAATTGCCAAGGGGCAATACTTGAGACTGCACTATCAAACAAATGATCAAGAGAGACAATTTTTAAGTAGCTTTTTTGAAGAAATAGGGAGTAACACTCTTTGCGGTTAACGAACCGGATGGTAACTGGCTATTCGATCGTTGACATTTGGATCAGTAGGCGATACGCAAGCTAGCCAATCATTCTCTGAAGGGGAAGACGAAACTGCACTGTCCCTCGAAAACAGCCGCTCTTTGGACAGTGCCTTCCAACTTCCTCTAAAGTCAACGTTAGTGCTACTAGGAGCAGGGATTCCCTCAACTGTAGCAGCTACATGACAGGAGAGAGAAGGAAAGTTAGAAAGGCCTTTGGGGGATTCGGGAAGCGAGGATTCAATTGAAGCTTCTGCCCATGGGCTTTGTACGCGCTCAACCGTAGAAACTTCATTTCGTTGCTCTACAACTGATGCAGAAGGACGCACTGGGGTGTCATGAAGCACTGGCTCTGTAGGCGTTGGAGGGCAGGAAGGCGCTGACGCCTCTTTTCCAGATTCTCTGTCTTCAAGACAACGTACGCTTTCAATCTGTTCTTCGAGCTTCATCCGCGTTGAGAAGTCGGCATCTCTCAATTCTGTTGCTCGCTCAGCCATACCTGACAGGGAATCCCTTTTGGCATCTCCCGTGCAAAACTGGACTGATTGGCCTTCCTCTACAGGCGGCTTGTTTGTCGCTGTACTTGGTTGTTCGTTGTTAAGACTAACCTCACCCGAGATCTTGTCTGGAAGGGAGCATCGAATTTGGAAGTCTTGTTGGTTTGTCTGACTTTTGGATACAAGCTCTTCACAGTTACCGCTGCTCGTCAGTTGCGCAATAGGCTCCCTCGGTAAATTATCTTGGCGCATGCTGGAAGGACTTCCGCTTTCTTCTCCACTGAGTAGAGCACCGATCTCAGAAGGGCTATTTCGTTGGGTGTCGCACCAAGGAATACAAAGAGGTGACCCGCACACAGTTATACTTGGGTTTTTCTCACTGATTGCACGGCTTTTCGCGTCATCGTTCTCCCCAAACTGTTTAATGCCTGTTTCTAGCAGCCTTTCCGAAATGCCTTGCGGGGTTGATTTTTTATCAGAAGCGTCCCACGTTATTTCGCGTTGAGTTGGAACTTTATTACAGTCATCCGAAAAGCAAGCTGGTGCGGGACGGCGGAATTTGGAGACTTCCTCTGTTGGCGACACTTCTGCTCGGCACTTTTTGTCATCAACCGCTGCGGAAGATAAATAACTGGGCACTTCCTGTTTTGACGAATTATTTGCTCGCAGAAATTGCTCATCTTTGGTGAGACCGTTGGTAGTTGAAAAAACGCTCTCTGCAAGAATTTCGTTTCCCGCATCAGCCCGTGAGCAACCAACGGGCTGTGCAGCTGCATTACACAACTGCTGACAAGATGATGATAATGAAGCAGCACAGCGCATCCCTTCGCTTGACCGATTAGTTATTCCATACGTTCCAGAATTGATTTCTGGCCGGATTAACTTTCGCGGGAAACACGAGTGACACGAGTGAGACTCCGAAGCATGAACAGTGCAGTTCTGTAGCGTGGCAGGCGACGGCATCGCCACGTCCATTGCTGCTCTACACATATGAGACAACATAACTGGGCCGTCTACATCGTACGACATGGGCTTCAGGGTTCGTCTATGGATATTATCCGTCGTTGGCTCGCTGACCACTCCAGCGGAATCATTCCAACAAGAGACACCGTTCGCGGGGACGCAGACTTCTGCAGGTGTTGTGCTATCATCAGTAGGTTTTATGAAACCATTCACGTCATTTTGCTTGAGGGGCAAATCAGTCAGTTTCTGGCCCGCACTGCCTGTCGCCGATCCTACAGCAAGGTCAAAGGAGTTAAGCGAAAGAGATATCGAAGATGCCAATTTTTTTTGCTGAACGCAGGCGGCTCGTGCTACTTCGTAACGTTTCTGCAGCTTCTTCAGTCGCTTCTGCGCTTCTGCGCTTTCGCGTCGTGCAGACTCGAGTTCCACAACCAGCAGCTTGAACTCTGCATCCTTGCTTCTTATCTGGTCATTGCTGCGCTGCAGCTCATCTACGAGACGCGCCACTTGAATGTCATAATCCTGTTTTAGCTGTACTGGCCCTTGGTCCTGACATTTCCCACCCAAATGCGGAACCAGTGACGTACTCACCAGTTGAGCATTTGAGGAAGCGCCCACTGCTTCACTTTTTCTTGGGTCGGCAACTAGCTCACTTTTCATGTCCGTCACGCACTCAAGCTTCTGTCTGTGGAGCTCAGCTTCTAGCGCTTCGAGCTTTTTTTTTGTGTCCAAAAGCTGAGAACGAAAATTTGCGTTTTCCTGGGTAAGTAGCTTACATACTTCACTTTGCTCTGTGGTAATATGATCCACATGCTTGCGAGCCGTTTCCTTTGCCAGTTGCACTTCCCTATGTGCCAAACGGCGTTCTCTTTCTAATAAATATTTCTCACGCTCAGCAATCTTTGCCTCCTCTTCTTTTTGTCGCATACTCTGAATTTCTATCCTGTGTCTCATCGCATCGACTGTTGCCTGGACCTCGAACATAGACATTCCTTCATGAGCTTTTTGGGCCCCTGCAGCCTGTTCTACCGCCTTTTGAAGCTGCCAAATCCGGCTTTTGTGTTCACTTTCTAAAGAGGCAAGTCGTTGATCTATCATCTGCCGGGTGTCTGCTCTTGCACCAAATAACCGTTGCGATGATTCACAGAGCTCCAGTCCTCTCAAGTGAGCTTCCATAAGCAGCGCTTGGTTGCTTGCCATTTCGTTCCACTTATTACACTCAGTAGAACCTTTTCTGGGGCAGCAGGACTTTGGCGACTCGGGTAGTTTGGAACATTGTGATTCGCACATCTGCATATTGAAACATTTCGGGGGGCAAGACCTTCCCTGGGCCCGCGTTGCTCTCTCCCTGTGAACGCGCACATGCTCGCTTTGTACCTTGCTGCAAGAAAAGCCCTTTTCGATATCTGAGCGGTCTAGGTGTTCGCCTTCGCCTTCATTCGTTGGGATGTTCCCATTTTCACACACTGAATCGCAGTTTCGTTTCGACCCACTATTCTGGCAGGTAGGAAGACTACTGGCGGCAGCTATCAAACGATCAAGCAAATTCAACTGAAGCTCAGAAGGCACATTGGAAGAAGCTGAATTGCTGAGAAGGGCCTTCGGCAAATGCAGAACTGCTTGGCACTCCTCTTGCGACAAGATGTCAGTATTACGCAAAGACGCTTCGGGACAAAGTAGACCCGCTGTGTGAACAAGTCCGTGAGCCTTTAGCCAGAGCAGAACAAGTGACAGTGTTGCTTTGAAGGCAAGGCTATTTCTAGGCGTTTGTTGGTAATCCGCAGGCAGCTTCAAATTTTCGCCTTCAAAGAGAGATTCCCTGCCGACTGTGCAGTTTAAAAGTCTTCCTGAAATAAAGTAGCGCACCTGGCATTCTAATTGTTGCTTAAGGTGTGACTGAGACAAAAAAGAGAGCATTCTACCAGTAGCCTCAGACCCAGAAGGCACTGGCGAGACGCCTTGCTTGCTGCTCCCTGCTGGAGCGGTTGCTGCAGATCGGTCCATCAGTAGCCCTTTCATGAAAGACCTAGAAGCTAAATATGCCCATCTCTAGCCTGTAGAGACGTTTAATTTTGCTACAATGACAAGTTTTGCGAAGCTGCAATTTTGTAGGGGCTGAAAAGAGGAGTTATTCACACGCTGGACCACTTCTATACTCTCGTAGCGGCTCACACCCCAAACCGAAAGCTGCCTTTCCAGGCCAACTGGTGGAAACAATTTTTACAAGAAAATGAAGATTTAACGATAATCGAGAGAAAGTTTTTCCGATGTTGCGGGCATTTCATAAGGAACCTTGGAGGCTCTGCTGTGTAGTGAAGATGACTCCGAAGAGCTTCTTCTGCTTACGCGGACCCAAAGTGATCGAGTATTATTTGCACGTAGGCTTCCACCATACAAATTACCAGCTTATTCAAATATTGAATGAAATTTACTCCAGTCAAAGCATATTGAATGCGCAGTCACGACCTATCCGAACAATAAGGCATATGAAAACATACGGCTCGGGAAAAGGCGAGCTCATCCAGAGCAGCTTCCCCATGAAGCATACAGAAGCCAGAGAAGCGAAAATCGCCTCTGTATCTTGTAGTGGCTTGGTGGCGAATGTGTAGCTCAGATTTCCGGCGCACAAGGGTTTTTCAGTGAATAAGGATAGTGAAGGTAATATCCTGGCCTAGTGATATTCCCACCGCATCTCCTGGACCAAAAATTGGGGAAAAGCCAAATTTTCTGGGCATTCATGTTGAAAAATTACATTAAAAAGTTTATGGTTCCAAGGAAAAGGCACGAGGATGGCAGTGACAGCCTCCCGACTATGCCGGCGGTCACCTGGCCTGAGTTGCGCTTGGCGTATGCGTTGAGAAAAGGCAAATCTCAACGGCACTGCTGGAAACTGTTTTTAAAAAAATAAAAAACTTAATATACATGTGCAGGAAAGCTCATGGTTTTTCGGTTTGTAGGAGACGCTATGCGGCTTATAAGCAAGGTGTGCAGCCCCTTTGTTACTGCCAGCCCCGTTTCACTTGACTACTTTTAACGCCTTGCACAAAAGCTAGCTTTTTGCATTTTGACAGCTGGAATGTGTGGTGGCTGATGGGTAGGCTCAAAATTGTATTATTCAATATTTCCCGGGCGCAGCGGCAGCTACACATTTTGACTGCTCAGCAGAAAGGCTCCAGAAAATGGAACGTGCATGCGTTCGTAGGTATGTAGAATGCGTGCTGGCTAGCTATGAATCAAAATGTTTGAAAAGTCTTTGCACTGTTACGTTTTGAGCGTTCATTCGTGTTTGGTGGCACCACAGCCTGGTGTCCAAGTTGCAACAGCAAGCCACATGGCTAACATTGTCTTGGTTGGGAACATTTGTAATTTGCCACCAGTGCCTCAGTTGGAAAAAACTTGAATAAAAGCTGTTGGCCTATTTCGTAAGACTTCACTGGAGTGTTACACCATCCTAGACAGGGTGGTAGCACAGAGGCGTCTTTTCGTGGGGATGTCAGTAACCATTCAGCACTCACACTTGCCTGCTGCACTGGTGCGTTGCCTTTTGAAATAATGAATTTAATTGCATCTGTTAGTGAAAGCATTAACTTGCTTGTCCGTGTGTCGTTCATATCTCTCTGCACTGCATAGAATACTTGCAACTTTACGCCTGTTTTGTGCCGGCTCTGGACTGCACCAGTTATGAGGCATGATCTTCTTATCATCCTTGTTTATGCTAAGGAAAAATGTGCCTAACTGCGGAACTCCGAGTATAAACAGGTGGGGCCTTCGTCCTCAGTTTGCGGTTTTCCCTCTTGTGATTAAAACGCATATGAGGAAATAGGAGCTATAATGCATGTTTCAGCAGCGGCACCTGTTAACAGTCCAGTAGATGCAAATAAGTCTGTTTTCAAACGGGCATGCAAACGGATTGGCAGACACAACTTCTGAGCATTCCGAAAATTTTGGGAGCAAGTTGCTTAAGGCTTATGGCGATGAGGGAAACAGCAATAACAGTTATTCTAGAAGCTACGGTTCTACATTCCAGTGTGTCAAGGCGCAGCGAAATTTAATGTTGCCCAAACAACTGCCTTCATGAAGAACTTTTTAGTATGACAGTAGGTTGTTGTTGTTCAAATGCTCAGTCTGAGCGAAGTTTTCTTGGCCAGTGGCTTTGCTTTCCCTTGGTACAAAGCGTGCTGCAATAAACTACTATTTTCTGCTTTTGCGAGGTTTTTCTGAGCCTAAGGGCGCATTTTCTCCAAATCGCAGATTCGCTGTAGCCTTTTTATTGCAGGGTCAGTACTACATGTCACCTCAGAATTTAGTGAACTGCTTGCAGCGAAGGAGCTGGGGTATTGAGTACTTTCAATTTGCATATTCTACGATTCCCGCCAGCATCTATATAGGGTATTAATTTATCAGACATGCCGGCTCGCCGGGGTTCAGAAACTAAACAAAAACTGGATGAAAGAAATGCATATCATGTATTAATATTGGTAATGATCTGGTAGAGTGAAGAGATGCTATTCACTAGCTGCATGCTCTGAAGAAATACTCGAAAGCAAAGGGAGTGAACCTCTGCAGGCCGCAGCCGACAAAGAAAAAGCTTCGTGCATTAACTATTCTCGCCGAAATTCAAGTCCGTTTGAAGTAATGAATGGATATTTTGATGAGCTTCTTCTCAATCAAGTTTCGCATTTTTATCCGGCGTAGACCAAAGAAAGGCAGTTGACCGCGAGTTGCAATTTTCCGCTGAGGGCAGGAGCATGTAATCAGCATTTTTAGGCACTTTTCTGATATCGGTGATGCTTCACTAAAAAGTGAATAGAGCAGCCTCCAGAATCTTTAGAGCAGCACAAATTCGCTAGCAAAGGCACTTAATGCACTTCTTTGTTGGAACATTTTGCTTTCTGGAGAGAAGTAGATTTCAGTGAGCTCAGAAAAACAGCTCCGGGTCGGACTGGCCTCAATGCGCTCCGAAGATCTTAGATATTTGGGAACCTGCTGAAGTGTTTCAAACAAAAGATTCATTTTAGGTGGTCGAATGTATCCAACAGAAGAGATATGGATTTCTGTTATCAGAAACGCGACAAGCTGCCACTCAAGGGCATCATGAGGTGAATTCAGAAAGCAAGAACTGTCGACGAGTCCAAGGAAATGTGCATTTGCATGTGTTTACAAATCAAAACAAAATATTGAAAGGACAACAATTAACGAGCGAATTCTCTTGCAGTTGCTTTCTTCACATGATTAAACAAAATAAACTCATTTACTTTCAAATGAGCCACTTCTGGCCCGGATGCCTCCTCCAAACAAAAGTTTTCAATTAATAAGACGCTGCTTTCTGCGAGGAAAAGTGCCATTTCTTATGAGCTGAACCTCAGGAAAGTAAACCCTCAGGAAGTCAGAGAAGCTCTTGAGTGTGGATTTAAATAGTTTAAAATCAGGTAACAATTCGTGCTGCACTAGCACCTTGACAGCCAGTAACAAAAAGTCTTTTAATTAACTCAACTTAGACCCCATAAAAAAATAAATTGGCGTGGAAGCGCATTATCTTTGCCTTGAAGTCTTTTTATTCTCTGTACAACTGAGATCTTGTCTTGTATAGTCACAACTGCTTTTTTGCGGAAACTGGGCGAAGCTACAACATTGTCTTTTAAAGTTTGAAAAGGCAGCCTGCACGTCCAGTTGCGCTGCTGTTTCGCAAATAGCCGTTGCTGCTGCAGTGCTGCTTTTCTGCAGCAGAGAAGGCAAGCAGCAGGTGCAGCCAAGCTCACGCAAAGAGTTGTGTTTAAGTCTCTGTTCTTTTTCTGAGCTCAGTTGAAACATTTTTGAGAATTTCAATTCCTGACCTTCATCAGGAATTGTTCCAAATTAGACTGCTATTAATTTCTATTTAGCTTGTTTGTGCACGCGGAAATTATGCAAATAACTGTTATTCCACTGAGGCAGAGGCTCCCTAGTGCTACATTAAAGTGGGCTTTTATGCGAACTCTAGGAAGCTGCGTGACTTCTCCATGGCTACCCGAAACTTTAAGCCCTAAACCCTAAACCCTAAACCCTGAACCCTAAAGTCCAAAATAGTGGGGTTTGAACTCGCCTTTAATTTGCAGGCGCTGCTGCTACAACTCATCCACCACAGCAGCCCTGGGAAGCAACACAAAACAGGTTGGTGGAATTTGTTCAAAAGTCTCATTTGCAAATTTGGCCACTAGAAATAATTGAAAGTTTTTTTACTAATTAGATAATTAAAAATGTTTTTAAAATTGTGCTAACTCCTTCGCTGATCAGAACTCGCCGCAGTGTCTTGGTGGCTGCATTGTGCTGCTGTCTCATCTAGGGCCAGCTCTTTCTTCGTTCCATCTTTCTATACTCTGATTTATTTTAACAACTTAATTAATTAAGAAGAACTTCACTCAGGATTTTAGCCTTTTGACTCCAACCCACTAAAACTAGAGGTGGGTGGCTGCTGCTGCTGCTGCTTTCTGCTGTAGCACCAGTCCGAGGCGGAAAGGGTGTCTCACGGGTGCAGCAGCAAACGCCGCAGAACTATAATGCATGCACACTGGAAGGAAAACAAATAAAGGAAGAAAGCAGTTGGTTTGGGGCTGCATGCGCTGGGGCGTGGGGGGGCTGGGGATCGCTGCAGGCAGCCGGCGGTGGGCTGCTGCTGCTGCTGCTGGAGCTGCAGCAGCAGCGGGAGGAGCAGCAGAATATGCGGAAGGTTGCGAGTTAGGGTTTCTGGGCTTTGGGAATCGCCATTTGGGATTATTTTTGCGGAATTTTCAGAAGTATTGGAATTATTTTCCCTTTTCTTCGGCGAAAATGGCGGCAGTGCCCACAAGTTCCCTCCCCGACGGCCAGCGCCAGGAGCTCCTCTGTACTTACGCTTCTTTGATTCTTTCCGATGAAGGAATGGAAATTTCCGCAGAAAATATTGAAAAATTAGTTTCAGCAGCAGGAGCTTCTGTGGAGTCTTACATGCCGGGCCTATTCGCGCGTGCGCTCAAGGGTCACAACATCACGTGAGATGCTGCTGCTGCTGCTGCTGCTGCTGCGGGGCGCTTCGCTGCGGCTGCGAAGGCGACGGCAGCTGCAGTTTTGCTTCGTTTTCTTCCTGCTGCTGCCCCTCTGCCGCTGCTGCTGCTGAGGCCTCCCGGGCCCCACACTTTGCATGCGTTGTGGGGAGAGTGCAGCACGAACCGTGCGTGTGTTGCTGCTGCTGGGCTGTTTTCGAATTCTATTTTCTGCTGCTGCTGCTGCTGCGGCTGGCCATGGAGATCGCGTCGGTTTGCGGTGGCTACTGCTGCTGCTGCTGCAGGGACCTTCTCGCAGGAGCAGGCACCGTTGCTGCTGCTCCTGCTGCTGCACCTGCTGCAGCTCCTGCTGCTGCAGCAGACAATGCTGCTGACAAGGGAGGAAAGCCTGCGAAGCAGGAAGAGCCTGAGGAGGAGGAAGATGCAGACATGGGTTTCTCTCTCTTTGACTAAACCCTAAACCCTAAACCCCCACAAGCCCTAAACCGCAGCAGACGCTAAACCCTCGTAAACCCTAAACCCTCGTGAGCCCGTAACCCGCGCCAGGCCCAGACCCTCAGCGCGATGTGCAGCGGCGCCACCTGCGCCCTGCGGATTAGGGTTTAGGGTTTAGGGTTTTCGAGACTGTTGGGATGACCCAAGGTTTAGTTGCTGTTGTTGAAGGAGAAACCAAAAGTGCGTAAATTCCTTTTTCTAAATTTGGCCGTCGAGGGTTTGGGGTTTACGCTAGGGTTTAGAGACAGGTGCAGCGTTTAGGGTTTAGGCGGTGCTGCTGCAGCGAGGGTGTATGGTCTAGGGTTTGGGCGATGCTGCTGCAGCGAGGGTTTAGGGTTCAGATTTTAGGCGGTGCAGCTGCAGTGAGGGTTTAGGGTTTAGGGTTTGGCAGGTCGAGCTGCAGCTAGGGTTTAAAAACCAGTACAACTAACAGGGTTTAGGGTTAAGGGTTTTAGGGAGTTTTCCTGTAGCTAGGGTTTAGGGTTTGACGGGCGCTTTTCCAGCTAGGGTTTAGGGTTTAGGTGTGCTGCTGTAGCTAGGGTTTGGAGGTGTTTCTGTGGCTGGGGTTTAGGGTTTAGGGATTGTTCATGCAGTTAGGGTTCAGCTACGGCTGCAGCGATTAGGGTTTAGGGTTTAGGGTTTGGGGCTGTATATAAAGTGCACTTCCGAGGGTTTAAATGCCGTGAAATTAGTTAAAATTGAATATAATTAGATTAGAATATTTACATACAATTAGATTAAAATAGTCAAATATATTTAAGTTAAGTTGAAATGTCTAATTATGTTTAAATCAATATCTACAATTCGTGAAATGTGGATTTATAGCATCCGAGCCGCAAGCCAGTGGCTGAACAGTGAGGGTTAAGGGTTTAGGGTTTAGGGGTTTAGGGTTTGCCAGAGTTGAGGATGTACGAGTGTTTAGGGTTTACTAGGGTTTAGGGTTTGCCAGGGCTTGTGAGGCGTTGGGGTGTAGTACGGATTAGGTTTTGGGCCTGCTTGGTTTTAGGGTTTACTAGGTGCTCAGGGTTTAGGGTTTTACTGGTGTCTAGGGTTTAGGGTTTAAGGTTTAGGGTTTACTAGGGTTTAGGGTTTGGCATTGAGAGCCGGTCGCTCAAGTAGGTGTTTGTACAGCGCAGTGTTACTTATTTGCAGACCTAGTTGCAGCAGCTGCAGCAGCAGCAAATGCTGCAGCAGCAGCAGCAGCAGCAAGTACTGCTGCAGCAGCAACGGCAAGTAGTGCTGCGGCGGCAACAGCAAGTACTGCTGCAGCAGCAACAGCAAGTACTGCAGCACCAGCAGCAAGTACTGCTGCAGCAGCAGCAGCAATTACTGCCGCAGCAGCAACAGCAAGTACTGCTGCGGCAGCAACAGCAGCAGATATTGCGGGCAATGCTTCAGCAAGCACGGCGGCCCCCCCAGCAGCAGCAGCAAGTACTACTGCAGTAGCAGCCCCAAGTGCCACAGCAGCAGCAACAGCAGCAGAAGTTGCAGCAGTAACAGCAGGAAGTGCCGCTGCAGCTGCAGCAACGATACCTGCAGCAGCAGCAGCTGCAAATACTGCAGCAGCAGCAGCTGCAAATACTGCAGCAGCAGCAGCAGCGCATACTGCAGCAGCAAATAGTGCCGCAGCAGCAGCAACGAATAGTGCTGCAGCACCAGCAGCAGCAAATAATGCTGCAGCAGCAGTAGTGCCGGCGAGGGCCTCCGCGGCGGCAGAAGTGTTTCAAACCCTCGAGTGTTTAGTGAAGATTGACAATTAATTGTTTGTTTAGAGGTCACCAGCAAATATACCCTAAACCCTAAACCCTAGGCCGACAGAAAACCTCCAAGCTTACCCCTAAACCCTGCAGCAGCTAGATTTGCGTCTACAGGGTTAAGGGTTTAGGGTTTAGGGTTTGGGGTTTTCAGAAGTTTGGGTGAAAATCAAATAGTAGAGGCTGCTGAGTTTTGCGGACAGCGGCAGCTGTTGCCGCTGCTGCTGCTGCTGCTGCGGTTGCTGCTGCTGCGGTTGTTACTGCAGCAACGGGCGGGGTGTCCTAGGGGCTTCTTTTCACTGAAATTTATTTAAAAAGAAAAATGTAATTATTTTTAAAAATAAATTAAAAACAAATACAAAAAAATAAAAGGGAAAAAACAAACAGACTGGGGGCCCCATAAGCCGGTCTGGAGGGCCAGTGGTCGGCGCCGGCGGTTTAGGGTTTGGGGTCTACACTTCAGGGCTTAGGGTTTAGGGTTTAGGGTTGGATTTTATTTTTGATGGATTTTTATTTTGACAAGAAGGAGCAGCAGGGCGCGGCTCTCGCCTCTGCTGCGGTTTACAGCTGCTGGATGCAGCTGCGGCTAAACCCTAAACCGTAAACCCTAAACCCTAAAACCTCCAAACCCTTACGGGCTTGCCTCCGCACAGCTGATTGGCTGCAGCAGCAAATGACCTTCTTTTGGGGGCCCCCGGGGGCCCCCCTAAAGGTACTTCCTGGGGTGGGCCCCCAGAGGGCCCCTTCAGTTTCAGGGGCCGGGGGTCACCTGGCCCGCCCTTGCAGCAGCAGCAGCAGCAGCAGCAGCGCAGTAGCAGCAGC